ATAAAGGTCCAATGTAGCAGGGTGCCAATTTACCTCTCTTTCCGAAACGAGATTGGCCTTTCATCGGGGTTACCTTCAAGAGCACATGATCCCCAACATCAAATTCGAGATCCCTTCTTTGCAAATCTGCATAACTCTTTTGACGGCTTTGGGCAGTCTTGAGCCGTTGTTGGATGACCTTGATCTTGTCAATTGTCACTTGTACAGTTTTTGTCCCTAATAATGCTTTTTCCCCCACTTCAGTCCAGCAAATAGGTGATCTACAATTCCTTCCATATAATGCCTTGTGCGGTGCCATGCCAATGCTAGCTTGAAAACTGTTATTGTAGGCAAATTCTGCAAATGGCAAATGAGTTTCCTAGCTCCCTTGAAAATCTAAGGAACATTAGTGAAGCATATCCTCCAATGTCTGAATGGTTCTTTCGGATTGTCCGTCTATTTGAGGATGGAAGGCAGTACTAAATCTTAAATCTGTTCCCATGGCCGTTTGCAAACTTTGCCACAATCTAGATGCAAATTTCGAATCTCTGTCCGAGACAATGGAAACAGGTACACCATGCAATTTGACAAATTCATCTATATATATGGTAGCAAGTTTGTCTGCATTGTAAAAAGATTTAACAGGTAGAAAATGGGCGGACTTGGTCGACCTCCTATCTACAATTGCCCAAATGGAATCTATACCTCTAGGTGTGTGAGGTAAGCTGGTCACAAATTTCATAGTGATATGCTTCTACTTCCATTCTGGAATAGGTAGAGGTTGAAGTAAACTTGTTGGCTTTTGATGCTCTGCTTTGACTTGCTGGCATGATAGGCAATGAGAGATAAATTTTGTAATGTCTTTCTTCATATTCAGCCACCAATAAATTTGTTTAAGGTCTTGATACATCTTTGTGTTTCCTGGGCGCATAGCAAATTTAGAGTTATGAGTTTCCTCCATAATCTTCTTTTTCACTTCTGGTACATCCGGAACACACAATCTGCTTCTAAATTTCAGCACCTGACCTTTCATAACAAATCTTGGTCTTGGCCTCAACTCCATTTCATCACAAACCTTCTTAAGAAATTAATCTTCCATTTGCCTCTGTTTGATCTCCTCGGCTATTGCTGGTTGGGCGGAATAGCAGTAAACACCCCCCCTTGTTCATGTAGCACAATCTCTATTTCCATTTTTTTCTCCAAATCTTCACGTATTTCTTTTTGCCCTGTGAGGCTGTGAATAAGCATGTCAACTTCCCATAGATTTGTTGCTAAGTGCATCTGCCACTATGTTGGCTTTTCCCAGATGGTACTGGATCTGCAAATCATTATCTTTAATAAGTTCCAACCATCTTCTTTGCAGCATGTTGAGCCCTTTCTACATGAAAAAGTATTTTAAACTCTTATGATCTGTGAAAACTTTACAGGTTGCTTCATATAAATAGTGCCTCCATATTTTTAATGCAAAGACAACTGTTGCAAGTTCTAGATCATGTGTAGGATAATTTTTCTCATGCGGTTTGAATTGGCGAGATGCACAAGCAATGACTTTCCCGTTCTGCATAAGAACACAACCCAATCCCTTGTAAGATGCATCACTGTAAATGACAAATCCTTCTGTTCCTAATGGCAGTGTAAGGACTGGTGTTGTGACTAGCCCCGTCTTCAATTCCTTAAAAGTAGATTCTCTTTGATCAGTTCACTCAAATGGTACCCCTTTTTGAGTTAGCTGAGTGAGTGGTACTGCAAATTTCGAGAAATCTTTAACAAATTTTAGGTAATAACGTGCCAAACCCATAAAGTTTTAAACTTCGGTTACATTAGTTGGATTAGGCCAATTGACAATAGCCTCTACTTTATGTGCATCAACTGAAATACCATCTTGATTAATAACATGACCTAAAAATATAACACTGTCTAACCAAAACTCACACTTCTTCAGTTTGGCATACGATTTATTTTCTCTAAGAGTTTGGAGAATAACCCCCAAATACTGTTCATGTTCATCCTCGGTCTTGGAATAAATCAAAATATCATCAATAAAGACAACAACAAATACATCCAAATGGGGTTTGAAAACCCGGTTCAACAAATCCATAAAGGCGGCGGGTGCATTAGTAACACCAAAAGGCATAATAAAAAATTCATAATGGTCATACATTGTTTGAAAAGCCGTCTTCTCCACATCTTCAACTTTAACCTTTAGTTGGTGATAATTGGATCTAAGATCGATCTTTGAAAATACCCGTGTTCCCTGTAATTGGTCAAATAGATCATTAATTCGGGATAGAGGATACTTATTCTTGATTGTGACTTTGTTTAGTTCCTGGTAATTGATGCATAGCTGAAGTGTTCCATCTTTTTGTTGACAAAAAGACCGGTGCACCCCACAGTGACGTACTGGGCTGGATAAACTGCTTGTCTAACAACTCCTGTAATTGGACTTTTAGCTCTTTTAGTTCTGAAGGTGACATTAGGTATGGAGTCTTTGAAATAGGCTTAGTATTCGGCACCACATCAACAGTAAACTCAATTTTCCTGTTGATTACACCTTTTGGTAAATCAACTAGAAATACTCTTGGAAATTCTTGAACCACTGGAGTGTTGTTAATGATTCGGTTGATGGTTTACCAGTGAACCCTTGAATCGACCTATGAATAGCCCTAGATGCCGTTACGGGCCATCTATTTTCGTTTTAGGCCTTTCAACTTGGATCACCTTATACTGATCCAGTCCAAATTAAGATTTTTCAGCCCACCACACCTATAAAATTAAATGAGATATCCAAAATTGCAACAACTATAGATGCATTAAGTTAATAAGTTATACAATGAAATTATGGGATAGTGATTGAACATTGCTTAAGGGTAACAACAACCGTGTCAGAGAATCAGTTTGGATTTATGCCAGGTAGATCAACTATAGAAACAATTCATTTACTAAAAAGATTAATATAAAAATACAGAGATAAAATGAGGGATCTACATATGGTTTTATAGATCTAGAAAAAGCTTATGATAGGGTGTTTAGAGATATAATCTGGTGGGTGTTGGAGGAAAAATGTGTAACTAAAGGGTATATTGATGTGATAAAAAAGACGTGTACAATGGAGCTCTAATTTTAATTAGATCACTTTCACGAGAAACTGGTGAATTTCTAATCATTGTAGGGGTGCATCAATGGTCAACTTTATGTCCTTACTTATTTTCCCTAATCATGGATGAATTAACTATACTTATTTTCCGTAGTCATGGATGAATTAATTAAACACATTCAGGATGATCCATAGTATGTGTTGTTCATTGATGATATCATTCTAGTAGACGAAACTAAGGAAGGAATTAACACTCAATTAGAAATATGGAGAGGAGCACTCGAGTCAAATGATTTAAAATTAATAGAAATAAAACTGAATATATAGAATGTAACTTTAGCAACAGTAGATGTGGAAATAATGGAGAAGTGAAGATTAAAAACTAGGAGATAACAAATAGTGAACATTTTTTGTTACTTATGTTCGATTAGTAATAAAGATGGTGAGATTGGTGATGATGTGATCCGTAGAATCAAAGTAAGTTTGTTCAAGTGAAGGATTGTGCCCGGCATATGATGTGATCGATGATCGATGAACACCAGCAAAATTGAAAGAAATTTTTTATAGAATAGCTATAAGGCCAACAATGTTTTATAGGACAGAGTGCTGAACAATTAAGAAACAATATGTGCATAAAATGATTGTAGTTGAGATAACAATGCTTAGATGGATGTGTGTCTAGACTAGAAAAGATAAAACTAGAAATAAATATATTCGTAAAATGTTAGGAGCAGCACCTATTGAAGATAAATTGAGAGGCAAGTTAAGATGGTTTGGTCATATGTAATGAAGACCTATAGATGTGTTGAAATGTGTCCCACATCGCCTGGAGTTGCCCATCTATGCTGGTTATGAGGCTCCTGTTTCTCTCTCCTTAATACCTGGGTTTTAAGGAAAAGTATGTGCTGGGCTTTTTAATTCGGTATCAAAACTTAGTTGGGCCTGTGACTGGTGTGCCGTTTGTCCAGCTATTGTATGTTGTGGTCCAAGAGGGTGTGTTGGAATGTGTCCCATATCGCCTGGAGTTGCCCCATCTGTGTTGGTTATAAGGCTCCGGTTTTATTCTCCTTAATACCTAGGTTTTAAAGAGAAGTGTGGCCTGAGCTTTTTAATTAGATGCAATGGTAAGGAAGAAGGATAGGGTCATCATAAATGGAGATGCTTGGGGGAGAGGAAGACCTAAGTTGACATGAGATGTGGTAGTGAAAAAAGATGTACTTATTTAATTTAATTGAACATATGGCCCTTGATAGGGCTGCATGGCGAAAAAGATTCATGTAGCTGACCCCACTTGATTGGGACACCGGGCTTAGTTTGGTTTGGTACTTGAATTCTATTGAATTTGACCTGAATTGTAGAGTTTTTTATTGTTTCTAATGCAATTTTTCCCCTTTTTCTTTCTTCCCTTTCTTTTTCCTAATAAGTAAAACATATGCCAAAAAGGCACATTAAAAGGAGGTGCAATCCATGTATAGAGGGTGTACATCAAAAGAGAAGCTAGATATTTTTGTATGAAACAACAATAACATAAATTTTTTACAAATCCCATAAATGGTTCAAGGAAGAATTAATCTTGTTAAGAACAAGCTTCTCCATGCTACCAATGGACTTTCAATTCCCTTTTCCCCAAATGCACAGATGAGGAGGACCTGCATTGGTTCTAGTATACTGAGGATGTTGACCTTGAAACATATTTGTTTATCTTAAGCTTGAAAAAAAAGATAGAGGTATTTTCTTTTTGGGAATCATGTAACATATTTCAGAAAAAGGAAAAGAAAAACCTGTTTGAAAAGAATGCTTTTGAAGCCATATGGTCCTGTTGTCAGTTTTGGCTACCAAACTATTGCTTTGACAGGGCTCATAATAGGTAAGGTTAAGCTTATTCAAGTTGCTGTTAGCTTAATTGTTGCTGCTAACTCTTGTGCAGGAATGCAGTTTTCATCATAGTCTGAACTATAAGTGGAAAATGGCTGGTGCAAAAGATAGGCAAAGTGTTATGGATTGGAAAAAGCAAAAAACAGTTACTCCCATATGGAGACCAGTCTGTACAAAATCTAGTTCCTCTGAAGGTGAGGTTTCCAGTATAGCAGCTGCTTAACTAATTCTTTGTTATCCTATGAGCCACTCCATGCATTTCTTTTATATTCAGTTGTCAAATTCCTTATTCTCTTTTCATTTTACATTGATTTATTTTTTAAAGTAAAGGTGAAGAATGAACTTGTCCTCACTCCCTTTCTGGTCACTACTACTATTGTGTTCCAAAGAAAGGTCTTGTATTCTTTTTCTTTTTTTAGTAATAATAATAAAAAAAAAAAATGGAGCAATGACATGACTTTTCTGTATCTTCTTAATCAAATAATGGAAGTGAAAATCTTAATCAAATAACTGAAGTTTTTCACTTCCATTATTCCCATTGCTAATCAATTTAAGGACAATAAACAGCTCATGTAGAAAGTATGCAAAACCTTGGATGCTCTGTTGTGTAACTTGCATCTAGGTGGCTCATGGGTTAGTTGATGTGAATTTGCAAAATGTTTAGTGAAGGAACTGCAGGTTGAGTTTGAAGATTTGCATGATGTGGGTAAATGTGGAAAGCAAGAAGATGGAATTAAAGTCCAAGAAGTACATGCTAGTATTTCTAGCAGTGCTTTAGATGCTCAACATACCCATGAAGATGGTGAAGCAGCAAATGGAGCAACTGACCCCACTTTTAACTCTAGAGCATTTCTGGATAATGATGAAGAAAGAGCTCCAGGAAGTGGATCAGTGCATTCTGATGAGAAGCATTCAGTTTCAGTAGAGGTATGTGATATGTATGTGTATGTATATATATACACATAGTAGAGGGACTATAAGCTTTTAATTATGTGATTATTGGTCATTGTACCCTTGTTTTTATGTGCTGCCTGTGCAGGTAGGAGCTTCCTTAATGCGTTTCATTAAAGGCAGCGGGGGGAGAGGTAATTGTATGGCACACTTTTTAAAGCTATGTTTCAGCTTGTGCACTTTGAAGGCAGGAATTATGAACATAACACAATGCCTTATTACTCATCTGGACCTTGGTGCCTGTACTGTAGGATCTTTGCTGTCCAAAACAGTGCCTTTACTATGTTGGATGATATTTTCTGTCATGCTTCTGTATATCTAATTGATGTAGAATTATCACATATGAAATAAAGTTGCTCCATTTTAATCTAGAAAACTTCAAGTACGAGTATGATAAGAACGATTTGTATGTGAGCAATTCTTCTTGTTACTATTCAACTTAAAATTTAAACAAGAGGAAACCAAGCAGTCAGTTTTTTGAGGAACTTAAGGAAAAGACATCAATTTAGGAACTTGGGTTTCATAATTCAAACACCAAGTCTCACAACAGAAAACACAAGTAGTGAATTAGCCTTGGCGAACACTAACCTCTCTTTATACTCTGGCAGTCTTTTTTCAATTTCATTTTACTGCTGGGCCCAAAAAGTTTTCAATATTTTGTAACCTGATTTTTGTCATATTGGACTTTCATCTGATTATCTCCCTCATTTTCAAATGCATTCAGGCATCCTCTTTGCTGTGCTTCTACATGATCGAGGAGTTCTGTAGAAAATAACTTGGTCCAATCTGGAAGAGTTATCAATGTATCACTCGTGGTTATTATTTATTAAATGTTTCAATCTATGAAAAAGATTTCAGACCTTACTGAGGGAGTGGCAGTTGGAGAAAGGTGTCCAGAGTGTCCTAGGTCTTTTTGTCTTATTGTCATCTCTTTGCTTAGTAAATATTCTTTCAAATATCTCCTTTCCATCAACTTCCCAGTAGCCCAGTGGCACTACTCTAACCTATGTGTTATCATGACTAATTCTTAACTATGAAGCATGGGTACTTTGACAAACATGCCGTACCCATACCAGGTACTTACCCGCGCATAGTATTTCATATGGTACTTCTGCATACGTACCGGGTACACGAATCTTAATTTTTAACGTACCCAGACGTACCTAGTATATACTCAAGCCGTACCGTATTTCAGTCGAAACAATATTTTCTTAAATTATAGAGATAAAATTTCTTTCACTAGATTTCTTTGTTATTTTTAGTTTCATGCTTAGTGATTTTAAAATTAAATTATGATTTAAGTTATTTAACATAATACATTTAATTTTGGTTTATACCTTTACTTTTGGCATTAAATGTTAATTGTAGGTTGGATTTGAACAAATTAATCAATTTAATCAATTTTTGCATTACCAAACCAAACCAAACCAAGTCTTAAGTCCCATCAAATGGGGTCGGCTACATGAATCCTTCTTCTCCACGCGGCCCTATCAAAGGCCATTTCATTAGTCAAATTAAGTAGATTCATATCTCTATTTATAACGCTAGTCAACGTTAATCTAGGCCTACCCCGACCCCTAACACTTCCATCTACCGTTACAGCATCGCATCTCTTCACTACTACCTCTGTTGGTCTCCGTTGAATATGACCAAACCATCTCAAACGATTCTCTCTCAACTTATCTTCTATCGGTGCTACTCCTACCCATTCCCGAATACACTCATTCCCGTACCCGTATCCTATTTTTTTTGAATTTTACCATATCGACGTACCCGTATTGTACCAGTGCCAATACTTGTACCCGTATCCGTGCTTCATAGATTCTTAACAACAGAACCTTATAATATGATTCAGTTTCCTTTCTCTTCTTCCTTTATTTTATTTTATTTTTTTTCTGAATATATGTTGGACTGGTAGTGTCTTCAAATTCAATCCTTGCTGTTGTTGTTTTTGATTTCTTCTTTTTGATGATTTGAGACTCTGTCCCTCTTATCTTTCTCTGTTTTTGCTGTGCAGGTAGGAGCTTCCTTAATGCGTTTCATTAAAGGAAAATGGTACAACTTCCATAATGAAATCTCCATGTGATTAAAATTTAATAAATACACACAGGCACAAACATATACTTTTGACATTATCTTTTCTTAAATTCCTCTCAGGGGATCTACACAGAAAAAAATTGAAGAGGACATGGGAGTTAAAATCATATTTCCATCATCAAGGAAGGAGGATTCTATCAGTATGCTCTTTCTTCATGATAATTTTTTTTTTTACATTGTACATGGTTGTTAAATGTAAATTTTTGTTTTAAAGCTTCAAGTTTGTTTAGTCCCCTCGATGTTTTTAGCTCTGTTGACCTGAAATTATGTCTCGTGTCATACTCCAAAGATTTTATTGTACTAGTCATATGTTCTACTTCTGCTACTTTGTTTCTAGAGCTGGAAATGAGCCAGGCTGCTTGTAAACTGATCGGGCTCAGTTGAAGCTTAATTTTAAAGCTCATTTAAGTAACAAGCCAAGTCTTAGAAGCTGTAAGCTTGGTTCATATGAGCTCATGAATGAGGTGTTTATGTCAGTAATTACTCAAAATTATGCTTTTCAGTTCTCATACTGGGTCATTTGCAACCTGCTTTTTTGTGATGTATATTTCATCTTTGTTTTCCATTTTTCAATTAAAATTGTTTTTAAAAGACTAGAAAATGAATGTTAATCGAAAAATAACACATATTGACGAAAAAAACACCTAAAAAAATGGATTCCAAACCCAGCACTTAATACAACAGAAAGCTGCCTTTTGCCCGAGAGACCTTAAGTGATGCACGAAAGGGCGGCTCTTTTAGTCAATGTAGTAACTTTATTGATTCGTCTTTGATCTGGTGCATCTTTGTAGATTTTAAGTACCAACCAACTTAGTGCTGGCATGTGTAAAGGAAAAGGACAACTTTTACTCCTTTGACCTATTAAAAGGCTTGTAGATTTTGGCCAAGCCAAGCCAAAAGTACAAAGCCAAATCTGGACATTTCTATAGTCAATCATGCCAAGTTCAAAAAAACATAATACTCTGCTTGACAGTTTGTACTGCTTCATTTGCACTTCTTATTACCAGTAAACTTCTTTGATGGATTGACTTTGCACTATATTTATTCTTTGGATATGCAAGATCAGGCTGCACATATATGCATTGCATGCATGGAATGTTAATATTGTTATTGAAATTGGGTTATTCACTTCCCATAGTGTTTTAGATTTAGGAGCAATGCTAAGTTGATATTACAAATTATTTATTTATTTTTAACACCCCCTCTAAATTTGTAATACGAAAAAATATTTTGAACTGCTCAAGTTTTTGTGATGTTATACTGCCTTCGTGAAAATATGTACAAGTTGCTTGTTGGTGTTGACAAACTTCAATTGAATTTTTTCTTTGCTAGCCAAACTTTTGATAAAGTGATGACGTAATTCAATGTGCTTTGTTCGAGCATGAAAAATTGGAGTTTTTGTCATCTCCATCTTCTAGCTGCAATATTTCATTTGTTGCCTTTGGTGTTGAAATTGGCTTGCAGTTTGACACCCTGAATCTTTTCAGCAAATCTTCAGTGTATTTTTCTTGAGAAATAAAAATTTCTCCCTTTGACTGTCAGACTTGGATGCCAGATATGGTCTATCCAGTTAGCATGATATCTAGATTCATTTGTTGAAGCATTCATGGAATCAAAAACATTGGGTCCTGTCTTGTGTCTTCCTTAATCCCTTTACTTGTGAGGCATGTTTGTTGTGTCCTTTTATTTATTATTTTTTTGATTTTTATGACAAGGAACCTCCTCAAGCAGGGCCCTTTTTGGCTCACCCCTAGAGAGTAAACATTCTCGTATGCTTGTAATTAGTGTTGTCAAATCAACAATCATATCATGAATCAAATTCCTAATTATACAAATTGTTGAATTGAATCGAATAAAAAATTGTAAAATTCAGCTCAAGCTGTAAAAAAATAATGTTAACAATCATATGTATGAATTATTCTTATTTTTTTGGCACATCTTTTACAATAGCATTTACGCCATCTAATAGGAAAGTTATTGCCTTCATAACAAGTGATGTGGTCCTAAATTATTTAAAAATCATAATATGTTCTCTCTTGATATTAAAAAAATGGATGTAGAAACAATACATCCATGTTACATGTACTCTTCTAAATGTGTGAAGTACCCTTGTCGAACACTCGATGCTTGGATAAGGTTATGGGATATGCATCCGACATATGTGGTTGCACATTTTCACCTAGAAAACATATTTAGTAATTCGAGTTTATCATAAAATATGTGTAAATATGACACATGAAATGCTCTATAGCGTCTGGTGAACACTATTTTAATCCATAAAATAAAAAAGTATATTAAGAAATATGAATATTTTGTTGTGTTCCCGTCCCTTAGACATGAGAATTTGATGAAACAGACACTTGGACATGTACCTACACCTGACACTTGTTTATATTTATAATTAAAAAAAGTGTAACCAAAGGGTTGTGGAATCATTGGGTCTGATTGACTTGACCCATGTCATATTAAACTATTTATTTCATCAAAATAACAATAGATAATTCAAGGGTGTAGGTTACTTTAACCTTAAACATCTTTAGAAGATGTACTTTCACCTTGTGCTAAGGAAACAAATGAGAAAAAAAGGTTAACAACTTATTGGGTTTGACTAGATTTGATTGGATCCTATTAAATCCTCTGATCACAAAAATAATAAATAATGCGTCAATATTGATTATTTTCGTAATAAACACTTTTAGAAGTTGTATTTTAACAATCTCACCAAAAAATAAAAAAAGGCAAAAAGGGATTGGATCTATTGGATCCAATAGTTTTAACTTTTAAGAGTTGTATGAATCATGAATCAATTGTGAACCGTGCTATTTATGATCAATTGTCTAAAAACCCGTAGATTTGTATTCTATGAAGCACAGACACGGACATGGGACACGACAATTTCCAAAAAATGGGGACACGGACATGGCGGGGGACACGGTGATTTTTTTAAATATTTTTTATATATATTTTATGTGTTATATAGATTTATATTACATTCATCCTAAATCAAAATTAACAAACACTAACATAGTAACATTAATTCAATAAATATAACCACTACATTTAAACAAATTAATAGATTATCCATTCACAAAAAAGTCATAATAAACGATAACAAGAACTAAGACGAGAAAGGGAAAACATTTAACATCTAACAATATTCTTCACCAAAGCACTAAATAAGAGAGGCAAAAGAAGGAAAAAAAAAAGAAAGAAAAAAAAATGAGCCTCGCCGTGTCCCATGCCGTTTCCCGATATGGACACGCGTGTCTCCGCCGTGTCCCCTAAAAAAAAATTATTAAATTAAAGGGACACGCCATTTGGTGTGTCTCGTGCGTGTCCCCGTGTCGGATACCGCCACGGCACCAATTTTGGAGTGTCCATGCTTCATAGTTTGTATTGATCTATGAATGAATCATGAATCAAATCGCGAATTGAATCATGAATTGTAAGATTCTTATAACAGAGATTGTAACCACCAGCAAACCACGAGAAGACACCAAGAGAGTTGAATCCAAGACCTCTAAGTTTACGACTTGCCCAAAAGTTTGCTCCCTTAACTAATGGGCTATACGGGTTAAATTTCCCATGCCCTCCTTCATTTTGAAACACATGATATGTCATCCTAGTTGTTGGCTGTATCAGTGAGATTTCCAATTTAATTGAAATTTGTGATTGGTTGGCAGTATCAACTTTTCCTTATTGTCCTCTGTTGAAGTAACTTTCAAACAATCAATTGTTGCAGTAATTGAAGGCATTTCCACAGAAAGTTTGACTAAAGCTTCAGAAAGAGTACAAGTCATAATTGATGAGGTCAGTTACAAATCCATGTATGTTAATAAATGGCATACAGTTTGTGTAGATGATTACATTGTATCTGGAAACATGTGATTTTGAATTTTATACCTAATTTCACTTAAGAATTTCCATTAGTTTACAGAGTCCATGACTTGTGCCATGCATCTGAGTGAGTAAAACAATATAAAAGTGGCTTGCAGTGGCAGTGCTAATGCTTTAGCCACTTCTTACATGGAAAGAAAAAAGTGTTGTTAAATGTTTGGGCACAAAGCCCAGTTTTGCCAATATAGCTAAGAATGGTGATGAAAGTGTTGCCTTCTTGCCTTTCGACTTTTAGAAATTTCATCTTCTTTCACTTGCTGGATTTTCTTTCTTTATTATTACTCCTTCCGTCCCAAAATATTAGTTCCTTTTGGGGAGTCCAACTTTTTTTGGTAGTACAAATATTACACTTCAAAAATATTAACTTTCCAAAACTATCCTTTGGTAGTATAATTATTACACCTCAAAAATATAAATGTTAATAAATTTAAAAGAATGGCAAAATAGGAAATTTATATTATTTTAGGAGTGTCGCTATTAGCACTCTATTTATTAGTTTGGACCCCCATTTTTTGACTTTTTTTTAATACAACATTAACCTTAAATGAAATTACTAAAAAGGACATCAGGGACACCCCGTCTCACAATTGAGCCCACACGCCCATTAAATCATGAGATAGGGTTTATGAGAGCACCTACCTGGATCACCACCCATTCATATTCCCCAAATCCCACCCTCAAAACCGTGAAAACACTCCGGGGGCGATATTCCGGCGGCAATGATGGCAACCATTCGATTATAGTGGCAATGAGTGGAAGTTTTTTCTGCAACCACAACTTCATGAGACGAGAGGTGTACAACAATGTAAGTTTAGAGGAGATTCATAGCTTTGATGGTGTTTTTAGCTCGGAGGTTGGCCTTGTAAGGATAAGTTTCTTGAAAAACATGTTAAAAATGATGAAAAATGTTTGTATTTTTTTGGGTACTGAACTCCTGAATATATGACTAAAATTCGGGAACACAAGTCTGAACATTGCTTATTTTTTCGGGAACACAGGCTCGAACATTGGTTATTTGTTTGGGAACATAGGTCCGAACATGGAAATTTGATACACTTTTAAGGATTAAAATTGTTCACATTTGCAAGAGTTTTCTTTTTATTAAGTTCGGGAACACAGGCCCGAACATTGCTTATTTGTTCGGGAACACAGGTCCGAACATTCTCAGTGAAAGAGAGGAGAGAGACTTCAGGGAATAGGGGAGGAGCGAGATTGAGACTAAGCAAAATGTGGATTTGCTCCCTTCGAACTATACATACACACACACACATATATATGAAGCACTGACACGTTCCAAGGCTCTGCGTACGAGTGTCGGACACGGACACGTGTCGGACACGCGGTAGACACGTGTCCGACACTCTCTCTAACGTGTCTCCTTTTTTTTTTTGAAATCTTCCAGTCGGACACGCCATGGACACGGCGGGACACTTTTCGGACACTCGTGAGGTGGATCGAAGAAGCCCTAACTGTTTTCCTTGATCGACAGAGAAAGAGAGAAAGGGATCAAGGAAGACAGAGAAAGAGAGAGAGATCGAGGGAGGAGAGGTCCACGGCTCAGCTCTTGTCGCAGTCGAACTTGTCAAAGATGGAGTCGTAGAGACTCGTCAGCTCCTCCGGCGGTGTCGCCATGTCCTCGCCTTCGATCTGCCTTCGATCTGACTTCCTCTCTCTCTCTCTCTCTCTTGTCGTGCGTCTCTGTCCCTCCCGTTTTCAACCATAACAATATAATTTGTTATATATAAAATATGTATATATATATCTAATTTGTTATATAAAATATATATCTAATAAATTATATTAACATATTTGTTATTATATTATTATATTAAATTATAAATTATATTATATTAACATATAAAATATATATCTTATTTAAAAAAAACTTATTTTTTATTAATTTTTTTAAAAAATATATTTATTAATTTTATTATTGTTTTGATTGTATAAGAACTAATGATTTTATTTTTATTTTAGACATATAATAAATAAATAAAATTATATATATTAAACGTGTCCCCAGCGTGTTGTGTCTCCTATTTTTTGAAAAATTGCGTTTTCGCGTGTCCGTGTCGTGTCCCGTGTCCGTGTCTGTGCAACATAGCATATATATATATATATATATATTTATATCTGTTATTTTTATTGTTTAGGGTTGATCGAATAAATGGATGGAATTGAAGGAAGACATATGCACCTAATGCGAAGAAAAAAGTGAAGATCGTAGAGAACACGTTCCTTACACTAATCGATTCACTTCAGAAATATTTTTCTTCCATTGTCATGAGAGAGAATGGGTTTTGGGGAGTTTTTTTTTTTTTTTTTGGGAGATAATGGTTTTTAGGGGTGTGGAAGTGTGCATTTGAGTGGGGTTGAAATTTTCATAAGGATAATTTTAGTATTATCTGGGAGGAGGACAAAAATTCTAAGGATTTAAAATTTATAAGTAGGGGTCCAAAATAATAAATGAGGTGCTAATAGCATCACTCTATTTTAGTCCTTGATTTTTGAAAAAGAACTAATATTTTGAGACAACGAAAAATGGAATAAGGGACATATTTTGTGAGGGAAGGAGTATTACTTTTTAAGTTTTTGCTGCTTTTTCTTTTTCTTCTTGAATGTTCATATTAATTACCTAAGCTTAATGAATAATGAGCGAAGCTATTATTATTCTTAACTTGGAATAACTTGGATGTAATTAGTTTTAATAAGCATATATATATTTTTTCTAACAATTTACTTAATCAACAAAAAATAAATTACAAAAAAAAAAGAATATTTTTGTCCTTTAGGACACACTTGGAATATATGATTCACCTGCACTTATTTCTGAACAGGCAGTAAAAAGCCCAAATCTAGACTACTCTCACTTCATATCGCTTCCTTTGGCGATACACCCTGAACTGGTTGATAAGCTTCTCAATTTTCAGAAGTCCATACTGGGAACTAGCAATGCTAATGAGGATGAAAATCTGGGTAACGATTCAAATGGAGACACTTCAGAAGATGAAGATAAGGAACAAGAGTTGGTTGGAGGATCTGATGTTGCAGTTAAGCTTAAAGTTGAAGATGATAATAAACATGTTAAAGTGGATATAACAAACATATGTCGTGTAAGTTACCCACCTAGAGCATCAAAGCCTTCTGAACAGAAAGCATCAAAGTCTTCTGCCTTGTCTGGTATGAAAGAAGCTGTATATTCCATTTGATGGATGCTCTTTAATTAATCAACTGCAGCAGCCTCTATATATTCTCTTAAATGTGTTTGATGATCGTATTTGATTTACAGTGGCTTCAATGCAAACATTTGGTCTTTTTCCCTCCTCTCTCTTGGTGGGAAGGGGGATGTTTGGCTAATATTTTACCATAATGTGTTTATGTTACCTGCTACCTACTATGTGCTTTGGCTTCAGCTAAGAAGCACGGACATGACATAGATACAACACGGACATGCTGACACAACGATTTTCAAAAAATACAAGATACGACACGTGAGGGACACACACAGAATATATAATTTTATATATTTATTATATGTTATATATATGAATTATCATTCCAAGACAATAAATAAATGCAATACAACACTAATTTTTATAAATTGACACTGTTTTTCTTTTGTCATCATATTCTAAATTATTTTGTTCAAACTTATAATTAGTTTTGTATGTGTCTAATCAATGAACACGTGTGTCCTCCAAGTGTCCGAGACTATTTTTTTTAAAAAAAAAATAAGACACGTTTGAATGAGTGTCGGACATGTTTTGGGAATTGTTCGTCACGAACACACCATCTTTTTAGAAGTGTCCGTGCTTCTTAGGGCTTCAGTGATGATTTTTTGCTTCTATGTGAGCTTATCTGCTGCATTTTCTCTTCCTTTCATTGTCCTGCAATATTTCACAAATTTATCTTTCACCTGACAGATTTGGGAATTGAGAAATCAATATTTATTAAACCCAAAACGTTTCACTTAACTGTGCTCATGCTGAAATTGTGGAACAAGGACCGAGTTGATGCAGCGGCTGAGGTTTTGCAGGTAATATTATCTTAATTAAACAAATTTGGACTGACAGTGGTATTGTGTAAAGATAAAGTGTTTCTTGTCCTATTCTCTAGAGTGTCTCCTCAGAAGTATTGGAAGCTTTGGACAGCCTGCCTGTTTCTGTAAGGCTTAAGGGGCTGGTAAGATTCTACCCTTTTTTAATCGTGTAGCTAATAGGATTTAGTTATTGCTTGTTTGAATGATATTCACTCGTTTAAATGGATTCTAAGGAGCCGTAAAATCTTGCTGCAAGTACTTCCCCTTCTAATATGACATCATCATCATATTTTAAGTTTAGGCAGTTCATCACGATCGATATTGCCACTGTCATCAATATTGCCACTGTCATCAGTGACTAATTGTGTTAATTTATTTGATGATTTTTATGTTAGTTGAATTGTACCTACAAAACTGTCTCATTATTCTCTAATGACTGATTCACAGGAGTTGTGGTACAGATGAACGTGAAAATGATAATTAACCATTGGTGTTTGTTGTGTTATTAACCTTGCATCTATTGTTGCCAAATTGAGATGCTTAATATGTTTAGTTTCACAATTTATGCCTTCGTTGAAATGCAATAAAAAGAACAGGAGAAACATATCTTCTTTGAAAGAAAAGCATAGCCATCCAAACTATTAAATCCTTTTGCATGAAACCAAATTAATTTTCTCCACATTATAGTCATATCCTGGTAATAACATACATAATAATATTTCTTAAATATGATTCCAGATACATTGGCACCAGGAAACTATTAAGCAGTTATTGGGCTCCAAAGAACCTTGAAACTCCTCCATCCATCTTATTGCATCCATTATAATACATTTATGGCTGTAGCCTGCCCTTTCTATTTCATTGCCTAGGCTTGTTCTCTTAAGCTGAACTTTGTGTAGGCAAATATACACCAGAGTGCCCCTTAAGTATGTCCCAAGTGGTGTAGGCTTGTTCTCTTAAACTGAACCTTGTGGAGTCAAATATGCCTGGACTTGTGTCTTCACTCTTCTGAAAAATGCTCTTTTCTTTCTTTCATTCTTTACTTTTCTTTACTTTTATTGTTTTTGGTTCCATATGTGGTATTAAGACTAAAGCCTTTCATTCTTGCAGGAATACATGAGAGGTTCGTTGGCCAAAGCACGTGTTGTCTATGCTCCTGTTGAAGTAATTGGTGGCGAGGACAGACTACTGCGCGCCTGTCGTATCTTTTTTTCTTAGCATCTATGATCTATATTTTTTCATTTCTGCATTTTTGTACTGTAAATTATGAATAAAGAGTTAATTCTTGTAAATTTTGATTTTCAATAATACTTTACTTGGTCCTTTTGTAATTCTTGAACTTTCTTAGAAGTCATTATTGATGCATTTGTTGAAGCTGGTCTTGTTCTTGAAAAAGATGCTCAACAAAAATTGAAGGTATTACATATGAACTAAGTGGGTAGTTCAATGTTTTGTGAATTATGAATAAAGAGTTGATTCTTGTAAATATGACAATGGTTGCTTCTTTGGTTATTCGATGGCAATGTTTCATTTTCATATATTGATATGTTGCATATTACTACACTTTGTTTGTTCCAGGAGTTCGTAAAATTTTTTGGTGCATTGTTTTCTGAGTATTGCCTTTTCTTTTTGTTTAATGCATCCGTACAATTCAAGCTTTAGTATATTGATGTAATTTTAATGAGAACACTTGTGCTCTGCCTAAGGGGTGACCATTGGTTCAATCGTTAAGACTTAGCCTAATAACCTTGCGGTTATGGGTTCAAGTCTTTGGGTCACCATTTTGTGCATTATGCCAAAGGTTAGGTGTGTATGTACTCAATCTTTCCCCTCCCAAACACACATTAATGTGTATTAATTGGGCGTTGTTTACTTGTTCTCTGCCTGTGTCACATTTATGGGCTTTGTGACAGACTCGAATGCATGTGTCCATGCATGCCTCGAGATGTGCACATAATATTAATTATGTAACACTGTTTGCTTAAACAATATTTTTAGATTATATTGGGTTTCTAGGTTTGTCAAAATTATGCCCCCATTCAACCTTTTTATCTTATGCAGCGATGATACTTTGTTTAGAGTGACTTTGGCAAGGGATATGCCAGCATAGCTGGGGAGTGATAGTGATCATATGTGGCCTTTAATATTGCACATTTGACTAGTAACTACACAGCACCCCAATTACATTTTCTAACTTCTAAGGCTGTGTAACACCATTGAAGAAAGCCATAGGAGAGAAGTTATAGTCTTCTTTAGTAGATCCCTGTAATTTTTATGAACTTTGGCCCCTTTGTATTTTATGGATGATTTCAGATCAGAATTATGTTGAGTTCCAACTTGGCATGAGACTAGTTATGTATTTGTTCTCTCATTACTTGCCTACTCTCTCTCAACATGCAAATCTTGTTGAATTTGCGCTCGTTGCTATATTTATCACTGTATTTTTTATTTGTATTTTCCTTGGTCTATCAAATATCAGTAATGATTCCTTGTGGTATATTTGAACTGCAGTTGCATGCCACTGTGATGAATGCAAGGCACAGGAAAAGGTAATATATATATATATATTTTTTATTTTATTTTATTTTTTTTCTGATAATTATTTCTTTCTTTTTCCTCAGTTGATTTATTTTTGTTTCATTTCTTTCAGTTAGTGCTTAATTTCTTTTTTCTTACTGGTTTGGTTAATATTTGGGACTTGAATTACTCAGGGGACAATGGAAAAGAAAGTTTGATTCATTTGATGCACGAGGCATTTTCAAGCAATTTGGTTCTGAGGAATGGGGGGAGTATCTTATCCGTGAAGCTCATCTTTCACAAAGGTTTGTTTATGATGAAAATGGCTATTACCATTGTTGTGCTTCCATTCCTTTTCCTGAAAGCACAGAATGAGATTGATTCTTTCCTATGAAGATTCAGTGGCTTACATTACTTTCAGTAGGAATAGACTAAGTAATATTTGGTTGTTCTTTGGTGATGATTATTATCATGTTCATTTGTTTTAATTCTAGCGAGGCTGTAGCAACAGTCCAACTTTCTAGAATGTAGTTTATAATTTTGTGCTTTATGTCAATAAGAGATCATTGTTGGCTCACCTAGTTATCATTTTGAGTTCCGTGGTTCAAAAGTTTTGGAGTATACTTCAAGATGTTTGAGCCCATAGGGGCCCCCCAGTTTGGTTTTTTGTTTTTCAAGGTGAGGAATTGATGGCTGTAAAAATGCAGTTTTAACTGTTTTCATGTGCACGTGCAAGCAGCGCGGATGCTGCATTTGCATTAGACATTGCTGCAATGTTTGGGGATGCTTAGTTTTGGACACTGCAATCAAATTGGATAATCATGATGCCTCTTTCTCGCCGATCTTTTTTATGAATGTTCTTGGGATAGAGGGTGGCTGCTGTGCACTGCTGCAAGTACAATGGGGCCCACTCCGGGTCCCACGTTGATGATGTGAACCGTTCATGTTTTAGGAAACGTCGAGTAGAATATCTCTATAAAAAATCACATTGTCGGACATCAGTGGTCCTATGATCAAATCAAATTTGTAACTACTAAATAAATGTTGTGTGATTTTGATTATAAAACTGAATACAAATTTTATCTGATTATAGGGCCACCGATGTCCGATCAACGTGATTTTTTACAAAGATATTCTACTTGATGTGTCCTAAAAAGTGAACGGCTCTATTCCCCTCGATCCATGTTGTGAAGGGGTTCTGCACAATATCTGTCATGCCCAGGGTTTGATGACCTGGATCCATGAACTATAATCTTATTTGACCTAGTTTTATTTAATTAAGTGAGAATCTTATGAATTAATGACAAAGGGTTCATAGATGAATTTTTCTTTTTTTCATTTTTTGAAAAAAAAAAACAAATTACCAAATTACATTTTTTTCAATAAAATCCCTTTCTATGAAAATGAATCGTTTCCTTTGTTTCCAAATTACAATGTTAAAAAACGGTTTGGTGGCCTCACCCATTTCGTACATTCACACAGTCCAAATCGGGGCAACCATTTTGTGCATTATGCTAAAGATTAGGTGTGTATCCAATCTCTCCTCTCCCAAACACACATTAATATGTACTATTGGGCGTTGTTTTATACAGTCCAAATCACGTATTAATGTAACAAATTGTTCATACATTTACTACATCTAATCTAAGGCTTACATACCAAGCCTTCACAAAAGTATATACAACAACAGGTCTTTTTAAATAAAAGTTCCAGGACCGCCCATACCAGCTCCAAATCCTATAGTATGGTATAGGGCGAAAACCTCACAAAAATGAGTACCATTCCATGCCCATCTACTTTTCAAAACATATCACACTTTAAAAACTCATCTCCATGACCTGCTTTATCAACAATCACTCAATCTCATCCTTAAACAGGATTCTCATAATAATATAAAATGCATGGCAATGTAAAGAAACTAAAGAAAACATAATAACATGTAAAGGAAGATAAGAAATCCCCTTCTTCAAACAAGAGAGGGATCAGAATGACCTAATAAATCCAAACTTGCCAAGACGACGATCCGAAACACTGAAGCTGAAGCCCTCAACATGCTCTCTAACTTTAATCCTCTACTCATAGATCAACTCTTACTCATTGTAACCAACTAGGCCTAGCTTAGTTGGCCACCATGCCTTCCTTTGGGCTTAGTCCCAAGGAGGTCATGGGTTTATTCACCTTAGGGGGGTTGAATTATGGGAGTGCAAGCACTTAGATACTTTGCCAAGGGTGGAGAGATTTTCTCCTATAGGCTATGTTACACGGACTCGGAACCTTGGGGTGAAGTACCCGTGTCGACATGACACGACACAACACGGGTGCGGGTGTGGGATCTGTGTCAGATTCTCCTCTTCTCTGTCGGACACGGCTCTTTACAAACGGCGGCAAAAGAAATGAGGAGAGAGCAAGAACGAACTTGGCTGCCGTTCGAAAGGGCAAGACGACTTTGATCCTCTAGCCTCTGGACGAGAGAGAAGACATTGGTCGCCAACTTCGCGAGCGAGACGAGAGAGAAGAGCAAGAAAGAACTTTCGCTTGATCTCCCTTCTCTGTCTTCTCTCTCGTCTCTCAATCTCTCTCTTCCTCTCCTCTCGTCTCTCGATCTCCCTCTCCTCTCTCGATCTCCCTCTCTTCTCTCTCTCTCTTCTTCCTTTTGTGTCTTCTCTTCTCTTTGTTCTCATCTTTGACTTCTTTCTTTCATGTTTCTGTTCTCTTTTCTTATCCTTTAGATATTACATAATATGAATTACAATAATATAATAATATATAATATTATTCATATTATATAATATATTCACTCATGAAAAATAGAATAATATAATATATCATAAATAATATGATTTTTATATCTAAAATAAAAATAACTTATTTTATCATATATAATATAATTTATTTTATATTTAAAATAATTTATATAACCTTTATTTATTATATATATTTTATTTGTTATTTTTTTAACAAAATCTTTTATTCCTTAGTTTTTTTTTTTTTAATTCATCTCCATATAAATATATTTTTAAAAAAAAATATATTTAGCGTATCCCCATACCCGTGGATCCATATCCACGTATCCTCAATTTTTAATTTTGAAGTGTCCGACTCCTAGATACGCACCCGCACCTGATACTCGTACCCCAGTCTGTGTAACATGGCCTATAAGTGCTAATCTAACAATTAAAAACTAACATTTGCCGATAAAAAAACTCTTACTCATTGTGGTTCCAAGTCTAACTTTTAGTGGTGGAAATATATATATATATATATATAGAGAGAGAGAGAGAGAGAGAGAGATGAGGGTAAATCTGATGTTTATTTCGTGTTAATAGGTCGAAGGAGAGAGAATGTGGCGCAAAACCAGCCATGTTGCTCCAAAAAATCAAATATCCCGACGTTCTGCCTGAGTGCCCAACATAGTCTCTTCATGCCCAATTCCATTGCTCCCCAGCACCCGGATGGCCCAACCACCAGAACCCCCTCTCACTTTATGCCCTTCCCCACCTAGGTGCCTGTACCCACTGCCTGGGCATCGCAGCCCAGTGCCCAACTTCACAAGATCATATCTTATTTGTTGGAACTCCAATTTGGGCCAAATTGGTGCTGAAATTGAAGCCCTTTAAGTTATTTTCGAATGCTAGTGGTCTTGTGTAAAATTTCAATGTCTAGAAAAATATATGAGCAAAAGAGTACAGATTGGTCAGAAACAATATTCGACTCTTGGACCTTTTGGTATCAACCATGGGCCATGCTACGCCAACGATCAACCTTCTAATACATCTTCAAACTTGGGCTCTGGATTTAGAACACTCATGCCTTGGGCCGAAAACCCCCTCGAACCAACAGGGTCTCCACAGTGCATTGAAACTTCCCCATGCAAAATGACAAAACCAAACTGTCTCCAAACTTCAAAACAAAGTCCGAATTCGGGATCACTTGTGAACCCATGACACGTCACCTCCCCTGTATCTAAGATAAGGCTACTTCTGATTTCCAGGTCCTCGCAGTATCCTAGAAATTATTACTGTTAACTAACTGTAGTGAATGAGATGGTGACGTTACTTATGCCTCCATAGAGCTATTTCGTAAGGATTAGGCCTCAAAGTTGCTTGTCCATAATCATTTTAGCAATTAAATCTTGACTTAGAAAATATGAGGAAGAAGAACTCCGAAAATGTGAGGAAGAAGGAATATATTTCTGTTATATTCAAAACTTCTTATCTTACAAGACCAAATGACACTCCTTATATAGGAGATATTACAAACATCATTATAACCCATTATATGCCATTTACATATTATATATTACCACTATTTACCACTATCATATTATATACATGCCACTATCTACCACCAACACCACTATCATATTCTATACATGCCACTATCTACCATCAACACCACTATCATATTATATACATGCAACTATCTTATTATATACATTAACACAAATTTCCAGCATCTTGTACGGGAGAGCTGGTCTTTCTCTTATGATTGATCTCCAGCTTAAGCTGCGCATATGTATATCTTTCCTTGGCTTCATTCCTCTGAGCCCCTGGTGAGGTCTTTTTCCTAATCTCTTGTTGGGAACTTGGGATAACAGAAAACAGCTCATAATTCGCTCTATTGCCCTTTGTATTCCGTGTGAAGTTGAGAGGTGAGCTGATGGTAGCATTTGAAGGCTTCCAAGTTTCAGTTACTAAAGTTTGCAACTCCTAGTTCATTCTACTTCTTGATCACAGTTGTGACACTTTCTTAGGTGAACTGTGGAGCAACGCAAAATCTGTTGAGAGTTTTTTCCCTGTTCTTCCTCATCTTTTATTCTAAAAATCTAGTCTCTTGTCAATTCTCTCTAAAAAAAAATTAAAAAAAGAAAAGAAAAGAAACAAAAGCATTCATATTGAAGCTATTAGTTGGTATAGATGAAAACGTAGTCATCCACTTCTATGCATAATATTGTAACATTTAAAGTCAACCTAACAACACTGGCATACATATGTCAAATGAAAGCTAACATAAATTCAAGTCTTCTTTTATTAATCTTTTACTCCTAAAAGTAGCTGCCTTGCAACTTCTTCTCTACCCAGGAAGGCGATAATACTGGACTCATTGGACACTCCACAATCTCCGACTGTTGACTATTTGCCACTGAGTTTTCCTGGTTCGCCTTCTCTGTAGGATAAACTTTAACTCTCCATACCTTGAAGGTTTGATCCAAGCTTGCACTATATACTAGCAACCCCATTACAGTATCCTCCATTTCTAGAGAAACTGCTAAGCACCTCACTGGTCCATGATGGCCATCCATGACTGCAAGACATGAATGAAATGTGTTCCCTTCCTCTCTCCTCCATACCCTTATAGTCGCATCCTCGGAACCACTTAGGACTAAGTCCCCTATGGCTACTAAGCAAAGAACAGAGAAATGATGACCTTGTAAAAATCCACCATGGTTGAATCTACCAGACATTTTCTCCTTCTCCCAGAAGTTTATAAGCCCATCTGAGGACCCTGAGTACAGAAAACAACCACTTAGGGAAGAGCTCAGTGCCAAGGCGTTAACTGGTGAGAGTTGGAACTTCAGTGTCATAGTGAGAATATGTGAGCTTTCTGCGAAAACCCTTCTCCATATTTTCACTGTGCCATCAGAGGAGCACGTAAATACACACCCATCTTCTTGGTTGATTTCAATTGCATTAACAAGACCTTCATGAGCCACAAATGAATCGATGCATTCCTTTTTTGAAACTTTCCAAGCTTTCACTGTTTTGTCCCATGAACCCGTATATAATAGCTTGTCTGTATTGTTGTAAGCTATGCAGGAGATGTAGTCCTTGTGTTGATAATCATTCTTCCTTGGATACAACAAGAATGAACTTCTTCTTGGTAGGGTTGTGATCTTCTTTGGTCGGAAATTCTCTGTCAAAGACACATCCCACACACGTATTTTCCGGTCACCATGTGTAGTAAAGAGCACTCTTTCATAAGCCAAGATGGTTCGGATTTCACCAGATTTAGCCTTGATATAACCCATTTCAGTGCAATCCGGTTTCTTCCATGCATGGATTCTACTACTTTTGGAGCCAGTGAAGATAAAATCTTTTGAGACCGTGATGGAGAAGATGTTACCTTCGTGGCGATGAAGTGAGACTAAGCAATGGTAAAGAAGAGGGACAGTAGGAGATGTTCGCACGGGGGATAGAGTCCATGGTGTGTCAGGGCTCATTGGCCATAGTGGAAATGATGTTGCGGATGCAGAAGATGTTCTTGCTGGAGTGTAGCGAGAATCAGATTTGTGATTACCTAAGGAGAGTCTTCTGGGTAAGTTTATGTTCTTTCTTTCTTCATCCATGAAGCTCCTGAGAGTTTGTTTCACATGGAACTCTTCCATGGCTGATGAGTTTTAGGGGGTTAGAGAAGGTGCTGAGCTGTATATAGGATTGAATGAATGTTGACATTATAGAGAAAATAGTGTTTTGATTTTGTAGATGGGGTTTGCTAAGGGGACCATTGTGCGCTCTAACCGCATTAAAAGGGCATGCCATAAAATCCAACAGTGATGAGTATAATAAACCGAATGAAGGAAAAATCCAGCATCTTGTACGGGAGAGCTGGTCTTTATAAGACCTTCTGAGTACAAGAAATTTGTGTGGTTAGATAATCATAAGTTAGGTATCTTGTTAAAAATAGAAACCACTATGACACATTCTATTACCCTGTTAATGGTAAAAAGTTTTAGGAGTGTATAGTTGCATATGAGTTTTGAATTATTTTTTGCAATTGAACTACATATACAGAAATTGGACATAGAACACTGTAGGCATAGCCTTGCTAACTGTGAGTTTCTAGTGTCTGGTTTTGTGATTGGTTTCTATATTCCTAGCATTAATCATTTTTTTGATGTCATAACACAATCACTTTGCATAAACCGTGTGAGGGGGGCATTGCCACGTTTAAACTGTACCTAATAAACAGAGCAGGTAGCTTATAACTTGAATACTGTAACCATTGTGGTTAAATGATAGCAACAACCTCTGTATTAGCTTTGTAGCTTTGCTGTAACTTGCAGTAGGTTGGTGATTGCGTTAACTATGAAGAAGTGCTCGCTTTCTTTGTAGATTAAATGATTTTGTGCTGGTGAAAAATGATGATTGTGACCTACCATGAGAGCAATTCATGACTCAATATTCAGTTGGTCTCAACTACCTAAACATGAAAGGACAATTATAGTTTTGCTACTCTTTTACGTTAGATATCTATCCTCTGTAGTAGTATAATAAGCACCGTAAGTGAAAGGGAAATGTCATCTTGAAATGTATGAGTGTGACTGATAATTTGATGAGTGCTGTTATTAGCACTTCATAAATTATTTTGAACTCTCAATTTTTAGTTCTTTTTTTTTAATTTTTTTTATTATAATAATAACCTCAAATAAAATTACTACAAAGGACAAAATTAATTTTGAGACACCCCATCTCACAATTAAATCTACACACCTTTACATCATGAATTATGATTTATGAGAGCACCTACCTCAATCACCACCCATTTATCTTTTTCAAATTTCACCTTCAAAACCTACCACCTACAAAACCTTGAAAACCCTTTAGCAGTAATATTCCGGAGATAACGGTGGCAACTATTTGATTACCTACATTTAACGGTTAAAACATGAAAATTTCTTAACACATTGAACGGTCAAAATTGTTAACACTTGCAAAAATTTTCATTTTTTCAAGTTCAGGAATACAGGCCCGAACATTACTTATTTGTTTGTGAACACATTCCCGAACATGGAAATTTGTTTACACTTTCAATGGTTAAAACTTTTAGCACTCGCAGAATTTTTATTTTTTCAAGTTTGGTAGTTTCAGTTTTGACGAAGCAATGTGATAGAGAGAGAGAGAGAGAGATAGCATACCAACTGTGACAATGGTTAAATCGGTAGAAACAGTATTCTTCTTCTTCTTCTTCTTCTTCTTCTTCTTAGTGGGGTTTGTTAGGGTTTTTTGGAAGGAAGATTTTTTTGCGGGTGTGCAAGTGTGATGAGTGTGCATTCAATGAGTGAAATGTTTAAGGATAATTTTGGTATTATTTGGGAGAGAAAATTTTTTAAGAGTTTCAAAATTTATAAATGAGATTCAAAGGAATGTCTAAAATAATTTATGAGGTACTAATAACACCACTCTTTGATATATCATAAAACTAATGATATTGTCTTGTCCCAATTTCAGAAGAGTTGTTGGCGGTTTGGTAATAGGATTCATTTTATAATTGATACCCTTGCAAGGCGAATGAGGCCAGTGTCTTGGGCCTCGAAATCTTGACAAAATTTATGGCTCTTAAATATTTTTGTCTCTTATGTAGTACTTGGTTTAGTGGAGTGAAACAAAATAGTCATTTTTTAGCTTATCTATAGAATGATTATTTCTTTACAACGGTGAATGATGATTTTATTTATATAATTTTTTAGTGAATTAAACATGAGAATGTATATTATAATAGAAGAGAAATTATACAAGGTCGCATTTCAAGAATTTTTTTAGCACCAATGGACTGCACATTACTGAGATTGATTAAGGTGTAAATTTGTTCGTACACTGTACTTAATAAGTACGTGAACATCATGCTTGATGTTCATTGGTTTTTGGTGTTAGATGTGGGATCATCTAACCCAACAATCAATAGGAAAGTATGTAATGTTCATTTTGTGTGAACAAATTTTTACTCCTGTTAGAGAGGTTAGTGGACTTGACTAGATAGCCAGTAACCATAGAGAAACCTGGGTCGAAAGATATAATATTTTTATGAAATATATTGTTTAGGAAAATATTTTATTTATTTATTTGGTCTTGATCATGAAACTAATGTGCACTAGGCTATATTAATGGTGTTGGTGGCGAGGTGGCAACGGTGGTTGTAATAGTGGCTGTGATGGTGGTAGAAATGATAAGATAGTAGTTGTAGTGGCAATGATAGGATAGTGGTGGTAGTGACAGTAATGTGGTAGTGTTAGTAAGATTTTAGTCTGAAAAATGTTACATTTCAAAAATGAAATTTTCATCTCAAATAAATGTGTTTTCAATTAATCATGAAATATATATTTGGTCACACTAATCTTTTTAGTTAGGTTTCATTTGTTTCAAATTTTACCTATTTTTTGTTTGGTTTGTCAAAAAGTAAGTAAAATATTTATCATTATAAAGCGTAAAATCATTTATATTTAAAATTTTCGTAAGTTATTTTTTTTCTCATCATGGTCAATACAACTCGACATATATATCTAGTCTCACTATTTTCATGTACGCGGAATGTCTTTGTTTTCTCTCTCTCTCTCTCTCCATATGTATACATGTACATATATTATTGGAATTATGTCTTGGGGTTGTTATTTTTGTTGCATTCAATATTTGTTTTATTTTATTCTTGAATAATGATATACAAAAATAAAATTTGTATACAAAAAAAATCTATATACAAGGATGTGTCACATTTATATCTACTCATTAGAAGTCAAAATTCTCATTACTATAGTTCATAATTATTTCTTTGTTAAGATTTTTGTTGTAAAAAAAATGCGCTATTTTTTTTTTTCAAAAAATATTTGATGGTACGATGTGTGTTATAAAAGAATAATTTAAATTTAAATTTAAAATTAAAATTAAAAATTAAAAATTAAGTATGATTTTAATTAATTATCTTGATAATATTGGCACTATCGTTCTATAAAAGTATTACTTGAATGGTTATATATATAAATTTTAGTTAAATTACTCGTGTATTTTGATAATTTTAGTTCTATTGTATTATAAAAGTATAATTACCTTATAATAATTTTGTATGATATATATTAAAGTATAAGATAGTAAAATAAATGCTCATTTTGATATTAAAAATAATAGTTAAATTAGAAGAATAATTAATAACATAAAAGTAAAAGTAATTCTAACTATTTAATTTTCTTTTATATTCATTTGGAAAATAAAAATATGTAGAAATAAAAATTATATAAAATTTATTGAAAAAATTAAATAAAAATATGTTGTAGTTGGATTATCATATAATGATTTTATATGATATATATTAAATTATAAGATTGTAAAATAAACACTCTTAATTAAATTAAAATATCAACTATATAAAATAAATTCAATAACGACTAACCAAGAAAGAATAAATAATGAAAACATCCAAACAATAAATACATTTTAGTGTGTGAAGTGATTAATCATCTGTAATATGATGTCAAAACATAAAAAAATTTACTGTTCAACAATTGAAAAAGTAACTCAAGCAATAAATCAAAATAATGTAAGAAATATTTTGTACAATCAAAGTATAATACATATAGAATTTGTAGTTAGATTTTATGTAAAACTTAAAATAGATTTATGAAATAAGTATTTCTCAAATAGAATTGATGTACAATTGGTATTGGATTTGTAGATTATTTAAATTTACATGAAAAATATAAGAAAAATAAGTATCGATTCAATAGAATTCATATAAAATAGGTAAAGTTACATAATTTAAATTGAGTTTGAGTTTGTGTAGAATTCTATGTGTAAATGAAATATGCATGTTGATGCTGATGTGATTTTTTTTTAGTAAAAAAGTAAACCCTTAAAATGTTTCACCTAATAAAGGAAGAAATACTACTTTTATAAGTATATATGATATTTCTGAGGGTTAACCAAACATGTGAAAAACAAAAATAAAAACTGCTTTTTGAGCAAAATCATTTTATATGAAAAATATTTTACTGTGTAACATAGCCTTAATCATGATAAATATTTTCGATCGCATCAAATATCAGAGCAGAAAACATTTTTTAACAAATTATTTTTTTACTAAAATAAACTGTTTCGGTAGCATGGCAAGAAAGGACGTAACATATGAGGCGGAAAAAAAAATAAATTAGGACATTTTATGAAAAAATGTATAAAAAATTAAAAAGAATAAAAAGAATATTTTAATTTTTTGGTATGAATTTATGACTTTTTAATTTTTTTTTTAGTAATTTTTTAACTTTTTAGATAAACAAAATCAATTGCCAAAAGCACTCTTCATATATCTATATATATATATATATATATAGAAGAGGCGTTTAGCTGCTTGAGATTCATTTTTTCTTTCTGATTTTGCCTTTTCATTTTGAATAATTTACTAATGGTGGCTTATGTATTAAGTGAAGGGTTTTTTGTAATTACGCAAGTATTCTTGGTCAATTATGCAACATGTTTTTTTCGTAATTACGCAAATATTCTTGGTAAATAATGAAATAGGTTTTTTCGTAATTATGCAAACATTCTTGGTCAATTATGAAAGTTAAATATTTTATTTTTTGACAAATTACAAATACACTCATAAAATTTGTTTAAAATATGAATCGGTCCTATAATATTTGAAATTACAACTACCGTTTGTTATAAAATTTTAATTTAGCACAATACTTAAGGAAAAAAACCTTTCTCTTATGCAATAATAATTATCAAAATTGTTTATTGAAAAATATTTCTCATATCATTAAAATTATTAATTGACTTAATGATTTATTTATTAACAAAAGGGTTAATTGAAAAA